CAAGCTGGAACGAAATGGAACAAGCTGGAACGAAATGGAACAAGCTGGAACGAAATGGAACAAGCTGGAACGAAATGGAACAAGCTGGAACGAAATGGAACAAGCTGGAGCGAAGTGGAACAAGCTGGAACGAACTGGAACAAGTTGAAACAAGCTAAAACAAGCTAAAACAATCTGAAAGAACATAAAAACAACGCAGAACAAAGAAAGTAAGCAAAATGAACATAAATCACCATGCCAGTTTCGACTCTTTCGCTCGTCTCGCGTTCGAAATGTAGTCCCCCATTCGGACTTTTTCAGACCCTTTGCGTTGCCCACACGACGTGGACACTTTTGCGCGGCCCCTCTCACATATGCACAACTGCATGAACTGTTCATACTTTTTTGGCATGCAAACATGCATGTTCAGAAAAACTGTCTAAAAATGTATGAACAGTTCAGAAAAAAAAAAAAAAAAAAATCCAAGTTACTACTCACTTATCCCATCACGGGTAACTGTACACACTGTTCCAATGACTCAAAAAAAAAAAATCTTCATTCATGTCTTTATGATACATATCTACATGGTCGAGTTAGACGCCTCGACTGGTCGGTTTTTCTGGCAAATAATGCTTTCCTCAAAATTGGTTAACAGTACCCTTTTTTTTTCCTCTTTTACCATTAAAGATTTACCTCTTCTCTTTCAACTTCAAATGGAACGTTACAGACGAAGTGATGTGAAAGGATACCAAATGGGATACACGAAACAGTACAGGTGACGGTGAAATTAAACGGAGGTGTTTTTTTTTCCCCTCGGCAGATCGCCACAACGCGAAATGTGCATGTTTCCCGTTTAAGACACGTCTTTGGGGGTATATCATAATAATGGCATCTCCCCCATTCATGGGAAACCCCTTTTCCGTATGCAAACATGCGCAGGTACATTTGCACACCATATGTTTTGATTTTTTTTTTTTCTCTTTTTCCCCATTTGATGCTCCTGTTCCGCGTAGAACCTTTGCATGTTTATAAAAATGGCAAAAGAGTAGTTCTGTTGAATCCTGTCACATGGAACACTCCACTTCACTTCGCAGTTTATGCGCGAATTTAGTACTTAGCAGTCGGGGGGTAGTGACAAAAGGGTTACGCATCCCTTATGTAGCCCTTAGCCCCTTTAAAAGGTTCCTCTTTGCCGGTGATCTGCCCCATTTGGGACTACTCTTAAATTTGCGCAACATTTATGGTGTGCCATTTTTTAACCCTTTCACAATTATGGGGGTATTTCAAAAGGGCGGAATGAGAAGGAAAAAAAAAGAAAAAAATGACCTTCAGAAGGTTGACATTTTTACATAACTTCTTTCTACACAGTATGGATTGCGCTGCAACTGTTTCAGGTTTGTGTACAGGGGGGAGGTGGCGGCTATGCCTGCCTAGGCCCATAGCGTGGCGATATAAAAGGGAAAAAAAGCATGCGGTCAATCGCCCAACTTTGCCCATTCATGTCGATTCAAATGGGTTAATTCTACCTCCATATATACCTCCACCTGAATGGATGTCATTTCTAAAAATGTACCGTGTATCATTCGCCTTTTTCCTAAAACGCTGTTGATATCACGTTTGGGTACAAAAATGACTCGGTCGTTTTTTTCTGTCCTTTTCCCACGGGGACATACATACGTATAATATAAAATTGCATTTATGTGCACCTGCCTTTTTCACCTCAGCAAAAAAGAAAAAGAAAGAAAAAAGCGCATACCTTTTTCATGAACGTATATTGAAAAAAATGCAAAGTTCCTTTGCCATCAAATTAGAAGGGCATATTTACCTATGGTAATGAATCTTCCAAATGGCAGAACTAATCTCCGAAAAGTGGAGATTGTCGATGAGAAGCGGCGCGAAATGTATTCATACAAATTCACACGTTGCATGAATATATGCGCTGCTTGTGGGTTCGTAGTTTTACCCCCAATGTAGAAATGGTCTAAGCGGAGAAAGCTGACCCCTCGTGCTGTTTACCCCTTCGATTGGTAACTGCGAAAAAGAAAAGTTGGCCATATCAATTTACCTTGCCACATGAATTTACTCAGCCATGCAGAGGGCGCGGCAAAATTGCACGCATATTGGGGAACCCCTGTGAGGGAAAAACGTTCCTGCGCTTCGCTGCCCATTTTTCCAGCGATGGGTCCCGCCGACATACGATGCCACGTAAAATGCGGCAATTTTAAAATAGTGATATGGAACAAAAGGCAGAAAAAAAAAAAATAATAAAAAAAAAAGAAAAAAAATGCGAATGAGCTTATACTGACTGCTCAAATTTCCGTGGTCACAATAGCGAAATTGCATCAGTCCCCAATTTACAAGCTTAAGCAGCCTTATTTCAAAAAAAAAAAAAAAAAACATACAACAGAGAGAATGCGCCACTAACCCAAGGTGCGCTTCCCGAGCGCTTAACTGCATAATGGCAAGTAAATAATAACAGCAACTTCACATTTATGAAGAATGAGCAAACCGGGCGTTTCCCAAAAACTGATAACGGGCAGCAAAGGTGGCTTCAAAACTAGCGGGGAGACGAATAAGACTCAAGATGGTAAAAATGGCGGCAAAAAAAAGAAACCCTTTAAGAAGCATAAAATGAAGGAGATAAAACATGTGGGGCGATTATCTCATTCTTGTCGTACATCCCTGAACAGCAAGGGGGAGATGGGGCGTGCAGACCAACCCTGCGCAAAATCCCATTTCGCGAAGAAGGAAGAAACAGCGGGGGGGGAACACCCACCAGTGACTAACAAAACGGTGATTAAAAGATCCAAGTCAGATTTTTCCGCTCCTGTCTTGAAGAAAGTAATGATAAATAAAAAGTTATCCAAAAAGAGGAATCATCGAAGGAAGGCCCAAAGGGGAGACAAGGAGTCTCACCCCCAACACATTCCAAATGGAGCTTCTTCATCAGAGAATGTCACTAACCGAGGGAACTACGCATGTGAGGCCAGCAGTCCGTTCGCCTATCGAACGGATGGCGACCATCCAAGCGATAAGCCCTTCTTCCTTGACCAATACGAAAGCCACTATGGAGAAAAGAAAAAACAAAAATACAAGGAGAAAAGAAAAATCGGACAGGACCCAGAAGAAATAGTGAATTCGTCCCTCTTCAGATACATTAATGAGTACATGTACACAAACAGAAGCGAAATTGTACAACAGAAGTTGAATAAAACAAACAATATTTTCAATATTTACCATTTGGGGTACAGAAATCAGAAGAGTAAATGGCCCCAAAGTCCCGTTCATGTAATAATAAGCCATTTAAAAAAAAATTTTACAAAAAAGAGCAAAATAGCCGATTTGGGATGCGGAGAAGCAGAAATAGCCCAGGCGTTGAACGGCTGGTCAGTCACTTCCTACGATTTAATTCAGCTCAATGAGCACGTCACGGTTTGTAACATAACCAAGTTGCCGCTCCGAGACAATTCCCACGATTGCTTCGTTTTGTGCCTGAGTCTCATGAACACGGACTGGCCGAAAGTTATATTTGAGGCACTTCGTTGTCTTAAAAAGAGGTTAAATTGTGGGCACTGAGGGGTCGCCACGTTAGTAGCCATTTCTGCTGCTCCTTTTGTGGTTTGTATAACCTCCGTTTGGCAGCTCTCTCCATGTTTGTTTTGTTTTTTTTTGTTTTTTTTTTTTTACTTTTCCGCAGCGCAATCCTAATAATAGCCGACGTGGTGAGCAGGTTTACAAACTACAAGGCGTTCATGAAGTTCATGAGGAATGTCGGGTTTACCTTCATCAACAGAGTAGGCCTTTCTTACGCGGACCACCGTGTGGGGAAGCGGCCATATGGCCCTATGCGCACATTTGGCTGAGGGGCGAAATTGGCCGTCTGTGTAATTTGGCTAGATGAACAGCGAAAATGTATATATATTTTTTTTTTATTTTTTATTTTTTTATTTCTTATTTATTTTTTTTTTTATTGCCCGTTCAGGTAAATTTGGACGATTTTTTTTATGTGCTATTTTTTGAGAATAATAAAAAGGACGGCGCTTCCTACGCGGCGAATGAGAAGAGAATTGGGAAGGTTTCCAAGTTGTTGGCTCCCTGCGTTTACAAGAGGAGGTAGACCCTGTTTGCGAAATGGCGGAAGAGGCAAATTGTAAGTGGTCGGTTGTGTGTGTGCACGCGAGGGGGGGATAAGAAAGCGGCCTGGCTCGCGTCGGCCGCCTCGATAACGTGGCGAGCGGAGGGCTCGCCTCACAAACGCAGACAAAAAAAAAGAATAAGAAGAGGAAGACAAGGCGGACGAAGCAGACTAAGCAAACGAAGCAATGCAAAACATAGCGCAGAATACACCGCGGTGTAACTGCGCGGAAGAGGGCACCACCCCAAACGTGGGACACTGGGAGGAGGCGAAACAAACTAAATTAGCCCAAACTGCTTGAACAACTGATGAATTGTCATAATTTTTTTTTCCGGGGAAAATCGACTTTTGTACTCGACGGTGACGTCCCGAAAGGTCATGTAGAGCTTGTTGGACAGAATAGCATTCTTTGTATCCATGTAGTTATAAAAATCCGGGGGCAACTTTATCTTTTTTTGCTCGCTGCTCAGGTTTATTATAATTCGATTGGGGACTCCTATCAAGTCGCAATTTTTCAGCTTCCGCGACAGGTGCAAATCCGTGTCGTCGTAGTATATGTCCACGTTGCTGTTTTTAAACGTGTTGTAGAGCCACAGCGTGAGGACGTACTCGACGTCGTTGCTGTTGAGGGGGGCTGCCGTCGCGTTGGGAACGTTTGACACATTTGGCACGTTTGTCACCTCGACCGCTCCCGTCACCTGGGCCATTTTCACAAATTTTGCCACTTTGGCCGCGGAATACTTGCTCCTCTGATTGGTCTGGATGAGGTAGACGCAGAAAGGCGCGACCTGCTCAGGTAGCCGAATTCCCTCGTCGTCGTAAAAAGAGTCGACCAAAAAGTAGAGCAGCCGATAAATGCCAATTCCGTAGGAACCCATAAGAATATTATTTTTTTCATTCCGTTTGTTTAAGTATTTGATGTCTAGTTTCCTGGAGTAGTAATCTCCTAATTTAAAAATGTGTGCAGCTTCTTTGTACTTGCCATCTCGGCAGAGTACTTGAAACTCGTGACTTTCCAGTGCATTCATTTTGTCCACTTTCCTTTTTTTCGTAACCTTGAATGGTAATTTCAAATCGGAAAAAACTTTTTCATAGCATTCTTTATATGCTTCATACGTTTCACTCAGACAAATGTCACTGCTGTGAAAGGAGTAGCCATCTTTCATCAAGAACTCCTTACTCTTGAATAGCGTTTTTTCTAATCTCTTTTCATTTCTGAATTTATAATTAAACTGATGGATTAACAAGGGGAGTGATTTGGCTGGTATGTTTTCATTGTACACTTGGTTGATTAGCGAGAGTGCCTGTTCTTCACATGTGGGACTTAAGATCAGCCCATCATCTTCCATTTTTTTTTTCATCATCACAACTTCACTGCCTCTGTTTATGTCCCCTTTTTGCTGCTTCTGTTTGTATACGTATAAAAATTCATCGCTATACTGTTTGGAGCGGTCTGAAATATTCCACCATTTCTTGGCTTGCAGAATGGACATAAAAAGAGAATGCGAATTGACTCTCTTCAGGTGGATATTTAGGAAGCCGATGAGCTTCTCGATGGACTTATATCCAAGGGGAAGGAGATTATACAAGCCGTTAATATCCTTTATATAGTTTGCTCTCTGCAACAATTCGCTTGCTTTGTCTCCGTTCTTCTTATCGGTATCGTTGCAGATTCGGTTGAAAATGGATTCGGAGCCCATGCATGAGTGGTTGTTCCCCGCGTACAGACCTGCGCGGTTTGCTATGCCCCTGCCTATACGTAAGCCTATGCCTCTTTCTCTATTCACGGATGCCCGAGGTAAGAACGCCAATTTTCCTATGTGCACTGTCTGCACAACACGGAGGTAATTCGCTATGTGCAGGAGCAGCACAAGTGAACAGAACATCATATGCACAGGATGGGTCGGCTCATCGAGACGCGCAAACGGCTAAGGGACGAACCTCTGAAAACTTCGTGCCACGCGCAAAATGTCCCATGCGCCCATACGCCCAGGGGTGGGAAGCACAAAAACGGTGAAGCTATCCTTATCACTCGGCTCATGAGTTGCTATATCGCCGAACGGGGGGTATGACACTGCTTCGATCAGTTTGCTAGCCGAAGTGCAGGTGCCACCTCGCAACTACCGCAAAGTGAAGAGAGCAAAATGAAAAAAAATCCCATTCCCTACGCGTTAAGCGAACCTTCTTTCACGCCATTGTGGATCTCAAAGGGGGCTACATTAGCAGTGTTACTTCTTCGTCTTGCGTTCTTTATTTCTTTGTTTGTTTGTTTCTTTTTTTTCTTTTAGTTATGCCACTCTCAGCGGAAGTGCAAAACGGAGAGAGAGCCGCCTCCCTACACATGGGTAATTAACCAAAATGGTGACAATTATTTAATTCAAAATGGTCCTTGAAAGGGGCAGGTCTCTTGGGGGGGTGTAATCCTTTGGCAGGAAAAACGCAGTTACGCAATTTTCATCACATCACGGGAACAAATAAAAAAAAAGGGTCTACTTATTTTTTAGCTTGAACATGGTACATTATCGAGGGGGGGGAAGCAATAAAACAAAAAAAAAAAATTAAACGTTGCACATGGACAAAGGAGTAAAGTGACCGTGGAATGGGTGCCAAAAGGAAAAAAAAATAAAAAAATAAAAACATACATGTATATATGTGTACCTGTGTGCACCTGCTGACACATATACACACCGCCGAGAGGCGTACAAACGGCTGCCATTTTATGTTCGCGGATGAGCCCCTCTCTCCCAGAACGCCGGCCACGTTCCACCCTCTTCGACGTACCAAAATAGCGAATCTAACCGTCCGAGAACGTTCATCCTATTTAGGAGCCACAGTACGTGCTACAGCGAACGTGAAGCAGCTGTACTGACGGCGAAGCAGCCCTACCGACCGCTAGACGAACTGCTCATCTGGCCGCTATTCCGCTATCCCGATATGCCGCTCTTCCCCTCACAGCATGTAGCCCACGTTCCTCCTCAAAGCCTTGGCGTTGGCTCGTAGCGGAGCCGTGCTAAAGGTGACGAAGTCCTTCTCCATGTACTCATCGACGAGCATTAGAGAGGCGGAATTGCCACACCTGTAACAATAATTAGGAGCACTAAAGATTGTCACCACCTTATCATTGTGCATCCATAGAAAGCCATCCTGCACAAGCTGGTGAGCTCGACATATACAGCTAAGCTTATTTAGTCGAAGGAAGGCATCCGTCCTCTCTTCGCTAAACACAACACCAGCACCCCTAGGAGATGCCTTCCATCCTTCGATGATACCATCCTCAGGTCCAGCAGGGTCACTCCAAAGTAAGTCACAAATGGGACCATCCTGCGGAATTTCCCTAAATCGATCTAAGTTATTAATCTGACTAATTGTGTGCAAATAGGGAGAAATCCCTCCATGGTCACAGAAGATCTGGTTGCTAATGATGGCTGTGAGGGGAAGATAGTCGAAGGCGTCTGTTATGTACCTCCACGCGTTGTAATCTCCATTGTATTTCCTCATGCACTCATCGTAAAAACCGTATACCTTGGTTATTTGTCTGCTCTCGTGGTTCCCCCTTAGGATGGTCACTCGGCTGGGATACTTTATCTTGAGACAAGCCACCAGGCAGAAGCACTCGCATGAGTAGTACCCCCTGTCCACATAGTCGCCTAGGAAGAGGTAGTTCACGTCCGGCGGAAATCCTCCTGCGGGGGGGGCGGCGGAGTGAGGAATGCGTAATTCGGAAAGTGGAAGGCGAAATTCGGAAAGCGAAATGTGGAAACCGTCGAAGATGGGCGTGCACACAGTGGGGATGATTGTACGCACCTGACAGCACACCTCCTAGCACACCTCGTCATTAATTACTAATCACAAGGGGGTCGTGGGTGGCTTCGTTTAGTCCTTCCCTCCTCATCGCGCACTTACCTATGTGGAACAGCTCCAGGAGGTCGTAAAACTGGCCGTGGATGTCCCCCGCGACGGTCACAGGGACGCTCACCTGCACACAGTTGGGCTCCTCCTTCAGGATGTCCCTGAGTAGTGTGCACATGAGCTTGACTTCCTCGATGTGAAGCAGCTCGCACTTTAACAATTTGTTAATCCATTCATCCACATTGTGCGAAACTTTTATGGAGGATGTGGCGGGCGGAGAGTTCGCCTCACTCTGAAGGAGTTCTTCAAAACGCGAGTCATTTTTTGTGTACTTCTTATTCGCCTGGTCGTCATCGTTGCTTACGAGAAAATCGTAATATTCTTTGCTTATAAGTAGACTATTCGGACATTGCTTAATTTTCCTGTTGTATTCATTCTCCGAAATGACTTCCTCATCACTCAGCTCCTTAACGGACAAATTCTCATACGTTGTGTAATTATCTTCATTAATGAATGTTTCGCAGGTTGAAACTTTGACTCCTTCATCGTTTGACAATTTTTTTTTTTTTTCTGATTGTTCATAATTTTTCTCCCCTTTTTGCCTGACCTGTTCAGGCGAATCGGTCTTCTTTTCGCTTCGTTTTTCCTTTTTTTTTTTTTCCATATATGAGTTGTCGTTTTGGCTGTTTTGGGTATTTTGGCTGCTTTGGCTGTTTCGGCTGCTTTGTCTTTTTTGGTTGCTTCCGTTCGGGCGTCTGGGGTTGCCTTTCGAGTTAAGGGCGTCACTGAGTTGGCAGTCTCGCGTGGGCGCAAGGCAGTAGCTCATCGTTCAGCGCCCGAGGTCTTTGTCCAGGCGCTGTTTGAGTGGGCTGTCAACAGTGTTATCGGGTTGTGTTATTTGTTTGTTACGTTTGCTTGTTCGTTTCGCCTTTTTTTTCCTTTATTTTCCTTTTTTTCTCCTTCGTCCGATCGGAACACCTCGCAGGGGGATGTCCACTCGTCGCGACTCCTGCGCGTGCTTCTTCCCCCTCGCGCGATTTGTCTTTGTATGCCTTAGCGTAACTTTGGCTTACTCAATTTTCGCAGTTTTCTAAACTGGGCTCTTCGCGTGAATGCGCTAGTTAGCACTGGGCACAAAAAATTTGCATGCCCAATTGGCACGAATTCGCGCAAGAACCTTTCGCATGGATTTTTTTTTTTTTTGGCAGCTTCTATCACTCCCTATTTGTGATGGGAATTCCCTCACTGGCAACTGCTCATCGTTTTCCGTGGTGTCTCTTTCTCTTATTACAACAAAAATAAAAAATAAAATAAAATAAGGAAAGGGGCAAAGAAAAAAACTTTGCCGTTAGTGCTCGTTAGCCTTTAATATGTGCTCCTGAAATACGTCGATTCGTCTGTCTATCCGCACGCACAACGCGTGTGTAAGTATTATGTGTGCATGCAGTTGGCGGTGGTGTGTAGGAAACCTCGTAATATCGCGAATTCGAGGAGGATGACGTGACTGCTAACACCTTGCGGGAATATGCAAGCTGTAATTTTTTGCAAACGGCGTCGCGAGGACTGCCACACAAATGACGCATAAGATGGTGAAGAGACAAATTTTGCAGCACGCGGGGACCACTAAAAAATTAATCACAACATATCAGTACGGATATGACAAAGTCGAGCTGGCACATGTGCATATCCTTACAACCTCGAAATTGGCAATGACACAAAAACACGTGCAGAGCAGTTCATTTAATTTTGTTAAAGGGATACAGCACTGTGGGCATGAGAAGGGTGTGCACATATGCGGTTCATAGGAGAGTACAAATTGGAGAATTACGCCTTTTTTTGGCTTATCCTTTTCGGGGGACGTTAATTATATGTAGTCGGGAAAGCGATGGGGTTCGATTGGCAGTTAATTAGTGAGAGGTGAATGGAAAGATAAAATAAAATAAAGTAAAATAAATCGCGCCATTAGCGGGGGGCGATAAAACAAACGGGGAGCAAAACAGCGTAGTGGGGAGAGACTCTCAACTTAATTACGCTGTAGAACAGATACGCAACTGGGTTGACGGAGCAGAAAATCGCCTGCACAGAATAGGAGGAAAAAAAAAAATCCCACGTAAAGCAATCCAAACCAACGGAAAGCAAGGAAAGGCGAAAAAACAAATAAACTAAACGCGGGGAAAAAGCAAAAGGAGGCGGACTCGGTGGGAAACTATCAGCAGGGCCTTTTAAACAAAACATAATGGGACACATTCAAAATTTAAAAAAAAAAAGTGGCGAAATATAATGCGCACGAACGAGTTCGTTGGGTTTGCATGAGGTGGACGTGCAAGTATCGCATAAACCCGCCGGAGCGTTCATACTTCGAATGTATGCACTAGTGTGGGGAATGTCCTCTTTTTGGAGTGGCCGCACAGAAGGTCCCGTGAGCAGATATATGTATAATATGTATATACGCATACGTACACCTCTTCGTGGGAAAAGCGCGAGAACAGCCAGGCGAGTAAAAAAAGCGCGTCACAAAAAAAGATGCAAAATGCCGCACAACGCTGCAAAACGGGGGACGTTATTTTTGCGTACTTTTTTTCTCCCCAAAAGAACGACGCAGGAGCGAGTCCAGTCGTACACATATATCAGCCGAACGACACGTTGCCTTTTGTGTTAGAATGGAAAAAAAAAAAATCCCAAAATGAAGATTTACCAATTTTGCGCTTTACATTTTGGCATGTGTAATTTTGAGGAATACGACTGGTGGAAAAAACTCGTGTAGTGACCAACTTAAATTTTTTTTTTTCTCCTCATTGTCGAATTAAAAGAAGTGCTGGAAAACTTCCCCCACGTCGATACGGCATCACCTGCAGAGGTGCCTAGCTATATGTGACCTGTGACGTATTTGACCGTTCCACCAAAGTTGCATGGCCTCGTTAAAGGTGGTCTTCTTTCTTTTATATCTAGTGATCCGTTAAACATAAAGGGAGAAAAAGAGCAACTTTCCGAGGAACCTCCCTGTTGTGACATCAGCTGCGGTTTTTAAAGGACGACGTGAACACCCAACTCGTGAAGGCACACGTGTAAACATAGAAGCGGAAGGAAAAAATGAATAAATAAAATAAAATTAAATAAAAAAAAACAAAGCAAAATAAAGGAAAACAAAACAAAATAAATTAAAGCAAAAAAAAAAAAACAAAATAAAGGAAAATAAAATTCATGACCTGACCACGCACACGGCAGCACAGATTGCATGCGTAGGCGCCGGCACCCGAAACGGCCCTGAAACGACGCAGCAACGGAACGGTCGATTTGTCGTTTGGAAAAATGAACGGGTTGAGGCATCGCTTGGACAGGGTGAACGCGCCAGCCCTGGCGCGAATGACTCGCAGGTTCACTTTCACGGTAGGGCAAAAGAAGCCGCTACGAGGAATGACAAGAGATCCCTTAAGAGCAGCAAGCCAAACGAACAGGTCTGATATAAAAACATATTCTCTCCACCTCCCCGCAGGAAATAAAAAAAATTGACGATTATCTGCAGAAAGTCAAATCGGGAAAGCTGGTGGTCGCGCAGTTCGGAGCGTCCTGGTGTGCTCCCTGCAAGAAGATGAAGCCAGTGGTAAGGACTCAGGGGGAACAGATGGGTTGTCCTTATGACAGATGGGGAGGAAAAGAAGACATACACTTAACCCATGCCAGCGAACACATTTTCTTCCCATTCCTCCATTTATCATCCATATTGTGACCCTTTATTTTGTGAAGCCGTATGGACACTTTATCGCCTTGTGCGTTGCTTGATCGGTGTGTTTATGCAGAGAGTCAATCGACGGTCCAAACGTTCCTCACCCTTAATAGGTGAAGAAACTGGGGGAAGACAACGAAGAAGTCGAATCGCTGTATGTGGACATTGATGAACTCCCAGGTAGGAACAATGGCAGGAGCACAAAGAGCTGAGGAGGGAAATACGATTTTACTTCTTCATTCCAACGTGGAAGCAGCTTTGAAGACCCTCCGGTGGTGCTCCTGCTGGTGCTGCTGATGATGTCTAGGCAGAACGAACCGGACTACCCGTTAAGCAGAACGTGACCGTGCAACTTGTGCGGAGTTACTCCACCCCCCTTTGCGTTCCCACCTCGCCACTTGGCTAAGTGACAACTTCACAACATGGCAACTTCACTGCTTCCCCCCCCACAGAGCTAGGAGAGGATGAAGACATAAACGAACTACCAACTGTTCTGCTGCGAAAAGATGGAAAGTACCTCGACAAAATTGTTGGTACGCTTTGATCACATATGTGTGCAACTATGGGGTGAAGCGGCTCCGTTTATCTTCATCTTCTGCTTCTGTTTTTTTTTCATTTTTTTTTTTTTCCCACCCAGGCATGAATGAAGAGCAGCTACTACACGCAGTGAACGCGCACAGGGCTCCCAAGGAGGGGGATGTCTGACGTTCCGAGAAGCATAATCATGTGGGGAAGGACCCCATCTGGGCATGACGCTAACATGGGAGATGCTTCTTTACATTACGCATCGAATTTTGTTCATTCTCTCAGTGATCATCCGAGGAAGCCACTTGGTTGGACCAGCTGTACCACTGAGCTGTGTTGGGGCCCGCTGGATGGGCAGCACGTTCAGGGGTGGCAGCAAGTTAGAAGTGGTGCGCCAGAAAGTGAGAGGCAGCGAGCTGCACGAAGGGAACGCATGCGAAATGTACCAAATATTCCTGCCAAGTGCACAGATGGCCTTTTTTTTTCACGCATACCAAAACCGATCCCGACATTTTGCAAGCACGCGTAACGTTTGGACGGTCCCAAAGAAGCGAGGCCTCGCTGTTGGGCAATATATGCAGCGCGTGGCGCGGCACATATACACATGTTAATGTGAGGCGTGCTGACCTGAAGCCTTCCCGCTGGTCATTTGAAATGGTTTGCCTGCACTGTAAGAATGGTGGATGCATAAACGCACGGATGGATGGCTGCCTGGACGCGCAACTGAACCCACGTGTGTATGCATATATGTACACGGACGCACATAATGAGGCGCACACGCCCGTGCACATGATCCATTTTGATGCGCACGTGTGAATACCGCATGCAATCGAAAAATTGACTTTTTTTTTTTTTTTAAAAAACAGTTTGGCTATACTTTCGCAGCTCAATGTTGAGTAAGCGCCATTATCGGAAAAGAGGTTTTTTTTTTTTTTATACTCAAAAATTTCTCGGCAAAAAAAAAAAAAAAAAAAAAAAGGCAAAGTATTATCCATGGAGATGATTTCTTCCGCCCCGCCTTTTCCTTTTATGTAAACGTGAAAGAGAGAAGCTGAATAAGGATGAACTGCGCGAAGTACGCGTTGCAATGTGATCCTTTTGCGTGAGGTATAGCCCTCTTCGAAAGCTGACTTGGGGGTGGACTTCCTTTGGGGGCAGTGACTTAGCCGCGTGCGATAGACGGTCACCCCATGAGATGATCACCCCTCCCCCGGCATTGCCATCATTCTGCTGACAAATCGACCATCCGCCTGGGATTGCCAGTTTTCCCCCTTTTTTTCTTCCCCGCCTTTTGTTTTCAATCCTGTTTATGCATAGCTTTCTGCCTTTCCTAGTACGTGCACCGCCTGTGTAGCAATCCCGTTTGACTGTCTCCCCGTTCAGTTGCTACTTTCGCGCGGGCGGATTAACTGCCATTTTGGGGTCCCGTCCTCACCGTACCTCCCCCTCAGTTTTAACTCCCCTTTTAATTTATGGGTAGATCATTCAAGGTTTTCCTGAGCAACTACGTCTACAGGTATGGGTTTCCATCGTGGGAGAGGCGCGTCTGCAGTGAGTGATGTGCATTCCCCGATGACTACGCCGCGTAGCTTAATCATTAGGATGCTTCGTCTAATCGTTTGGCCGCTTCTCCCCCCCGCAGCTGCTCTGAATGTGGGAACCACCTGTCCGACCCCACCGAGTTAGTGTCTACGTCCTTCCGAGGGAGGACAGGCCCGGCATGGCTATTCTCCAAAGTGATAAACATCTGCGAAGGACAGTATGAAGACAGAATGATGACCACGGGCCAGCATATCATCGTCGATATTTATTGTAACATCTGTAGAAACAATGTTGGGTGGAAGTACGAGGATTCCTCAGAGGAGTCACAGAAGTATAAGAAGGGAAAATACATTTTGGAGAAGGCACTGCTGTCCTTTTTGGTTATAGACCGGCACGGGAAGGAGCATGAGTTTGAGTTGAAGTCGTCTGACTGCGATTTTTGACGGCGCGTCGGCAGAAAGGCAGCCAGCGGCAATGTGGGACTGCCCCCTGGATGGAGAGAGGCATAGCTCTAACTAGGCGTAGCTCTAGCAGCACGCCGTACAACTCCGCTTTTTTCACTTTTTTTTTCGCCTTTTTCACTTCTTTCCCCTTTTTTGTTGCTCCTTTCGCACATTCGTCCGCACATGTGAGTGCTGATACGCGCTTGCACACGTACGCGACCTGTACAAGTGCGTTCATTTTTTTTTTTTGTTGAAGATGAATTTTTTTTTTCCCTCCGCGCGTTAGCGACAATGATTTAGGGACAACTTAGCGACCACCTTTTCTTTCATTTTTAATAGTGTACAGTGGGAAGAGGCGGGGAGGGGTGAAGGTGGATTGGCATAGCAGGTTGGAATAGCAGGTTGGCATGACTAGTTGGCATAACCGGTTGGCATGACTAGTTGGCATAACCGGTTGGCATGACTAGTTGGCATAACCGGTTGGCATGACTAGTT